GGGCCCATCTTGAGATTTTGCAAGTTCTCTTTGGATAGTGGCGAGCCGCCTTTTCCTTTGAGTGAATCAAGAATTTTCTGGTTCATGTCCACTTATGGAGTGAAAGCCGCTGCGACCTTCCCAAAGAGTTTTCTGTCGTCGTTGGTGTTCATGAAGCATACACTTGGAGCGGACGGCGTGGAGTCATCTTTGTCCACGAGAGTTGGTGGAGTGTCCAAAGCGCACTTCTTGACGAAGGCGAAGCATCAACAGAAGCCGCCACTCCAAGTGGCACATGTCAAGGCGCTGGAGGAAGTGGTAATCAACGGTCGATACGAGGACCGTAAGTTCGACGACCAGGACCGCTATGCTGCTGGGGTCTTCTTGTGGATGGTCTACGCTCGGGCCAGATTTTCGGACGGACAAAACTCCGGTGGCATATTCAGGGATGTGCACCAGACTAGAGATGGTCCAAAGGGATATCTGGAGGCCTTAGTGGAGAGATCGAAGACTTCCTTCAGCTTGGAGAGAAAGGTTCGGTGGCTTCCGATGATCGCGCCGATCTACGGGCTGCTTAGCGAATCTTGGGCAATCGCGTGGCTGGACAGGGCCGAGCTGTCTGGACCTAAGCTGGGGATTGGTCGTCCATTGCTTCCCGGCTACGCGCAGGACTATGGCTGGGGCGAGGTTCCGATTTCAGCTGAGGCGGGTGGCAAGTGGCTCCGCAGTCTGCTTTACAAGTGTGGGTTCGATCCAGCAGTGGTGAAGCAGTATGGGACACATTCCTTGAAGAGCACCACGTTGTCGTGGTGCGCCAAGTACGGAATGACTCGTATCACTAGGGCCACTCTGGGATATCACAGCAAGGGTCGAAACGGAACGGAAATGATCTACGGAAGAGATAACATTGCTGCCCCGGTCCGCGAGCTGGAAGACATACTCCAGCGCGTCATGACGGGACGGTTTCGTCCGGATGCTTCAAGAAGTGGCTACCTGGCGCCAGAAGATGAGATTAGCGACTCTTCTGAAAGCTCTGGGGACGAGGAAGCACCGGAGCATTCGGAGGAGGAGTCTGC